AAAATTACACACACTGGTCATTTGTGCCTCATCCTCCAATCCTTTGTCCCAAAGTTTGGGGCGAACCATTGCCTGTTATTTTGTAATAATACTTCTCACACCTGAGGAGCTGGACCTTTGTCTGACAGTTATAACATCTCTGAACAGCTACAATTATCTCAATATGATGGTTCCTTTGTAGGACACCCTATGTGCTTCTGTCCCCCCAGAGATGTTAACATAACTTGCTTGCCCCATACCTTGTCTGCAGGCTCAACTTAATTATAGATATTCTTGGGACAATTCTACTGGAGTAGGGCTCCTACTTTCCACAGTTGTCCCTGTTAACAATTGTACTGATGCTAACTGCACTAGACCCCCTACACCACCTCCTTTTCTCCCCCACTGCCCTAAGGTACATACTTATGCACAAGGCCTCGGTGTTGATCATGTGCCTTGGACAACTTGCATAGGACTTTACCCTGCACCTATACATCCTCGGGTGCCTTTTGTGTCTTGGACCTTTCTCCCTACTTGGAATGAATTTAATCCCTCTGAATAGTTTTACCCCCAACAGTTCTCTGATATTAACTGGGGATCTAGACCCAAAATGTGACATGGTCCCACCCTCTGCTACTGTGTTATTCAATATCAATCTCAAGTGTACACCACATTGGATACACTCCTTGGTTCTTTGAAAGCTTATAACCTCTCCTCTTGCAATGTCACTGTTTTTCCTAATAATCTAACCTTCTCTTGGGATTCCTCTAATTCTAATCGTTCACTCAACTTTTCTGCCAGTTGTGTCAGACCTCTTCATGCCTTTCTTATCAGTAATTTAAACTTTGCTGTTACTGCAAGCCAACAGTTAGGACATATACAATGTAAAAACTATACCTTATGCACTTGTATTGATTCCTCAGTTACCCCTCCCTTTTACTCCCTTTACTTGATTACCAGTTACCTAAAACCATACTTGGACTGGTGACAATGGGTTGGCATTACTACATCTAGCCCTGGAACAGATTCATCACCCCAAGAGATTTTTAGGTGCTCTCATCTTTGGAATTGTCTCTCTTATAACTCTCATCGCCAGCATGACCACTGCTTCAGTGGCATTAAACCAGCAAATTCAAACAGTTCATTATGTAAATACACTCACCAAAAATGTTTCTAACATATTGCATTCTCAAAATGACCTTAACAGAGACCTTCAACAAAGGATCCTCAAACTACAGAAAGAATTAAACCTTATAGAAGAAACCCTTACTGGAGTAGTCCAATACATACAGCTCACCTGTGATTCCCAGTAGCGTCACATCTACATTATTGCTGCTCAATGGAATGGCACTTATCACAACTGGACTTTGATACAACATTATATTCAGGGAGCTTGGACTCAATATTCAACCATACACATCCAACGTCTGACTAAAGATATTCTTGACCTGCAAACTGCCCATCTCTCTACTATCTCCCTGGACTCTATGCAGAGTTGGTGAGACAAATGCAATCCTAGTCATTGGTTTAATTTTGGACTTAAAGGACTAATAGGGATAGGTGGACTCATGTTTTTGGGTCTACTTAGTATTATATGGCTAAAAAGACTAATCACTCAAGAAACTAACTTCCACAAAAGAGAAAAATTTCTAAATGCTTTTTTTCATAAAAAATAAAAAAGGGGGAGATGTGCGAAACTCTCAGGACCCCCAAAGCCTCTTGGAAAAGAGCGGAGTCCCTGTAGCTTTTGTGCAACAGCCCTAAGAGAGATTGCAACAGTCCAAGATGACAGTTGCTGAACTCCCTGTTCTCTTTCTCTGAGTGGAACCGGAAGACCCAGTTCTGAGAACATGATGTTCCTCATTTGGGCTCGTAGCCATAGCAATGTGACAGCCAATCCTAGTACAGAGGTCAAGGGAAACCTAGGGGCTGCTGCATACTCCTTCCTGCTTTTCTGCATTGCTTAAATACACTCTTCAGAAGATATACTGCACCATTGCTGCCTGGCACAAACCCCAGCTTGTGTCGTTATTCACCACTTGAGCTCCAAGACCAGAGTTGGAGCCCCTGCTGCAGGTCAAGTAGACACTTCTCCTCCCTAGGGAATGCCCGGCTGCATCTGAAAGGCATCTCTGCCCTCAGGCAATGTAAAAAAGCTTTAAAACCCACTCCCCACCCTGACCCACCAGTTTCTGGGTCCCTCTCCATTCACCACTGTGCAGTCTTTCTCTTCTCTTCTCTACAAATAAAATCTTTCCAACCTCTGCTATTGGAGGCCACCTGTGCTTTCATTCTGAGAGCGGGCTCAAGAACCCTGAGCACCTGAAATTCCTGCATGTGTCGTCCATGCATCAAGTTCTAAAGACTTCTATAAAGACAGCTAAGGTGCTACTGGAACCTCATTTATTTCTCCTAGGAAATAGACTTGCACTGGAGTGTGAATGTGTGCATGTGTGCGTGTGTGTGCGTGTGTGTGTGTGTATGTGTGTGTGTGTGTGTGTGTGTGTGTGTGTGTGTGTGTGTATGAGAGAGGGAGGGAGAGGAAGAGGAAAAAAAGAAAATAGAGGCTATATAGGAGAAAAAATCATGGAATTTATAAAGCATGCAAATTTTCTTTACTGTGGTAATGTAAGAGGCACTCAATTTGCTTTTGCTGAAAAGCATTGACTCCTTACTTGAGCCCACAAATTAACTAAAAACAGGAAAACCTTGGCATTTCTGTCTCCACTTTGTATCTGTCTTTGCTCTAAGCCATTCTCTTTACAGTTACTATATAATCACCTTGCATTTCAAAAAGGACAAAACTGATAATATCTTTATGACAATGAACTGGAGCCATCTGAAGCGTCACTCTCCCAGTGAGGACAATTATTCCAAGAGTCCTCTCAAACAGGAACCAGATTACTCCCTCTAGTTGATAACTTCCAAAACTGGACCAGATCATCTGCCTGACCAAGATGTGAGCTTTACCAGTCAGGAACCCACCAAATCACCTGCATGACCAAGATTGCTGGCCCCACCAGTCATGAGACTAACCAAACCACACCTATGACTGGACTGTTTAACTATGCATACCTTTGTCCCTGGCCCCCAGTTTTTTTGTGTAATTAACCCTATAGTTCATGTCTGTACCCCAGATGGTGGCTGAGAATGAGCAGAATGCTTACTTTGCCTCTTTCCATGGCATGTCCCAAGCTGCATAATAAACCTCCTTTCTCTGCCTTCACCATGCCTCTTTATTTGGCATTTAGGGGAGGGTGGCCGGACCTGGCATATGGAATCTCAGGAGTTTGGGCCTTGGGTCCAAAACTCCAGTTTCAGTAATTCTCCATAATTATATTTACCAGCTGTAGTAAAACTATTATTGAAAATAGTATTTCAGCTTTGAAAGAATTGAGTCAGTCAAAAGTTGGAAGAAACTCTTGGGCTTTGAGCATAGACTGAAAAGCATCTGCCTCGCTGGCTTTAATATTTTTATAACTGTGGCTTCCTCAAGGCTCCTTTTCTTCATGGATTCTCATAATTTCAGCTTTAGCTCCTGCTTTTCCCATTCCCAATTTTCAAGAGGGAGAGAATATGATTGAACTTTATTTTTCCAGTTTGGATGGAGAAGCTTGTGGACACTGTAGGTTTCTGGACCCTTTGTCCAACCACCTGTAACTTGTGGGTCATTTCTGTGCAGAGGGGAAAGCTGTGTGGTTGAAGGGTTTCCTTGAAAGGGGGTGGTGAGCGCTGTGATAGACTGCTGTCATTTCTACATTATCTCCCTAGACTATCCTAAATTAAACTTCTCTTTTCCAAACCACAGCCGCTCTACCATGAGAGCATCACTCTGCTTCCAGGCATTTACACATCCCATTTTCTCTGCAAAGTCAAATACCCTTCCTGAGCAGGATAGATAGATGAGGAGACAGGGAAATTATATTTTAATCAATATTTAAAGGGCCAGACTCTGACATAGGAACAAGGAGGGCCAAAGCAGCTGGCCCCCTTCCATCTTTTAGATGCTAAGTTGCAGAAACAGGGAGACAATGAAAGCTACCTGCTTCTGCTTTCCTCTATGAGATGTGAAAGAGCTACAAGGATTCTTGGATGGGTGGAGAATAATCATGTCTAGGAAAGGGAAGTTCAATGGACTGGAGGTGAGGCTCAAGTGGTAGAGTGCCTGCCTAGGAAAAGGAAGTTCTAAAGCATCCTATTCTCTGTGATTTACAGTGTGATTTGGGAGGGTGACCCATCCCTGTTAGTCATTTCAGCAACCCAGACCCATTATCTTTGACCACTTGTATGGCCCCAGACCTCCACTATAAAACTAAAAGTCGGGGATCACCATTTTGAGTCTTTGCTCATGTTTCTTTCTCTCCACCTCCCCCATACTTTATCCTGTTATACTAAAATAAGTCCTTGCTAAAACTTTTACCTTGTGAGGCTCCTTGTTGTGAGACACCTTGAAATGCCTTTCATATTTGTGGATCTCAAGGAACTGTGCTTTTGCATGGAAACTGGGAAGATGTGGGAGCCCCTTCATCTGTCCTCCAGTGACACTTCCTAATTGCCTGGAAAAACTCTCACTCTTCAGGAGTTGGTCCTAAGGCCATCACACCTGCAAAGCTTTCCAATACACCCTTTTTAGAAGAAACTGAGACTTTCAGGGGCGTTTAAGTGACTTTTTGTTCACATACTCAAGGGAATATAAATCCAGAGCACTGACACAAAACGCTGAAGGCATTATTATTAGTGAGAACAAAGGGAAGTGATTCTCTGGAAAAGTAATTAGTTTTAATTTAGTACTAGTGTTTTAGAAGCTCAAATGCCACACCAACTCTTTACCAGAGAGGAACGGCGGGAATCTGCGCATGCTCAGAGCTGTGGCTCACTGCTCCCCCGCCCCTTGCAGGCCCGGCAAGAAGTGGCTGGATCGGCAGGCGGAGGCCTGCGAGCCCGCCGGAACCCGGAACCTAATCGCTGCGGCGCAGGTTCCCGCCCGGAAGAGGCGTCCAGGGCGCCCGCGGACCAGCAACATGGCGTGGTCGGGGAATAAGGTAGAGAAGGCCAGGTGTTTGGGCCTTACCCATAACGGGGGTCTGGAGGTAGCAAGAAGTGTGGGATCACAGTGGTGCCAAGGAGTGGGGCGAGAGACAAGATCATGCTGGTGGGCTGGATCAGGAGGGCTGGGATCGACAGATGCCCTAGGCAAAAAGCCAGGGAGTGATTTTTTGAGCCCCACTCACCCTTCACCCCTCGTCCTACCCACTCTTCTCGTATACCTACCGCTCTCCCACCTGCCCCTCATGTTACCTCTCTCTCTGCTTGCTTCTGCCTCTTAATCCCACTCCACCCGCTAGCCCCACCTCCGAGCCTGAACTCTTAAAATCTATAGAAGAATGGAAGCTAGCCAAGATAATCCTCTCTTCTACAGGCTTGTCACAGAACTTCAGACAAGGACTTTATGAATGAACTACCTTGAAATGTAAAGTGTATCTAGAATTTATTGAAAGCTTATCCTGTACCCCTTGGTCAGGTGAAAACTATTATCCTAGTTTGCAAGTGGGATAGGGAGGGCTGAAGAACTGATTAGAGCATGATCACCCAGTCCATAAGTGGTAAAATCTGAATTTGAATCCAGGCTCTTCTCAAAGCCCTGGAGAATCTCTGCATGGTTATTTATCGATGACCCTTGGTGTCCCAGATTAATAACAAATTACAAGGAATTTGAAAGTAATTTTTGGATCACTAGAGGGAGATGTAGATCCATTCACCCACTCATTCATTCATTTAATACAGGTAAATAAGACAAGAGTTTGAACAACTGATCTCTAGTCCCTTCAGCTCCCTGTTGGGATGTCTTGATATGAACTCATAATGATGCTGCTTACCTCCTTTGTTTCTCCTCAGCTGCAGGAACCTTGTAGCTTCAGTGGAGGAGCTATTTGTGGCAGATGAACTTGAAATAAAATCCTAACATGATATATTGCTTCAGTGTGAAAATGAAGAGTTATTATGCTGCCCACTTTCTCTTTCCTAGTTTTCTTACTGCTTCCAGGAAGGAATTCACAGTTTTATATGGACCATTCTTCAGAAAAGTAGTTTTATATTGTTAAACTCTTTGATGTAATTTCCTGTGTCCCTGATTTCTAGCAAAAGACCTTTAGTTATCTAGAGTTTTTAGTTTGAAAGTAACATTTGTAAACATGTATTAAGTAAACTCAACAGTGTGTTTTGTGACTCAGGTTTGGTTTTTTTAGATTTTTATGCTCAGGGCATTGAAACTATGGAATGTAATCTTAATGCTTTCAAAGGAATTTTGTAGTTTTATTAGTACCCCTTTTGCTAATAAGCTGTCTTTACTCCAGACATCTCTTGATATTAGTGCATTATGTTCAATTCTTTATGAACTTGGGGAAAGTAGTTTTTTGTGTGTTGCTAAAGATATAACTAAATTCAGAACTCACCTATAACTCCCCCTGATAGGAACTTATCTAGATTTTTCAAGCATTTCTAGGGACAGGAGATCACTGCTTCAGAAAACAGTAGTTTCTTTATTGATCACTTCTAAATGTTATTTTTCCCCTTACATAGAGTCAAGCCAGTCTCCCTACAACTTCTATCTGTTGAACCTATTACCTCTCTTGAATACCAATTTTTTTTTAATAACACACCTGTCAAATATTTAGGGAGGAAGATGACTATTAAGGTAATCTCATCTGGCCCAAATATCCAGTTTTTCCAACTGTTCATTAAGTCACATATTTTCCAGATCCTTCATTTCATGTTCAGTGATAATCTTCCTCATAAGATATATCCATGATTGCTCAGGGGTTGATTGGTATAATACACAAAGAGACTGGCAGTCAGGATCAAGGAATGTTAATTCTGGAAACAACCTTAGACCTCATGTAGTCCAATTTCCTGCCTCATTGAATTAGCAGTGAGGTCAAGTGACATTCCCAAGGACTCAGCTAATTAGAAGTAGAGATGGGACTGGATCTGGTCTCTCGATTGCTAATCTGGTTTTTGTTTTTGTTTTTGTTTTTAACTAAAAGTCACTTCTTTTCTATATTTGAATTCACTATACTGTTGAAGTAACCTAAAATATTTTGGGGGATGGAACACTGAAGCCATATCATACTGACTCATTTTATAATCTACTCTGTGAGTTGCTATTAGATCAGGTTTTTTTCCAACTTGTTTTCACTTAAATTTTGGATGTCAAATATACATGAAAAACTTTGCATATATTCCTTTTTTACTTTTAGTTTGTTTGCCTTATTTTCTTAGTCCCCAACATGTGATTGCTGCCTAATGACTTGGTGCCTTTGCTTATATGGTTCCCTCTGTCTGTAATTTCCTTATTCACATGACTGACTCCTCACTCTTAAGATTCACCCAAGAATCAGGTTCAAGAAACCTTTTCTGTCTCCTTATACCTCTCTGTCTCCTCCAGCAGTCTTGGTTAGATGCTCCTTTGTACCTTAGCACCCACCCCACACCTCTGTCATTTAACATTGTGCTAGTAATATTTGTTACATGTCTGTGTCTTCTATTAGAATAGATTTGGTGTCTTAGTTGTCATTTCAGATCCCTAATTTATAACCTGACTCAAAACAATTGGAATGTGCTATCTTAAGTATATGTAAGCAGTCACCTACTACCTCAAAAATGCTTCATAGCAAACCACCCCATTCAGTGACAGCAAAAGTATCTATTTTCATATATGTAGGTGTGCAAGTCAACTACAGTTTCTCTCATGCATGTTAGGCTCAATTGTACGGTGTTGGACTTAAGTGTAGAATGCAGGCTGGTTTCTTATCTGCTCACCATGTGTTTTATTCTGTGGCTGAGACCAAAAAGAAGTGGAAGCTACCTGCCGCGTACTCCTTCTGGAGATAACTTTCTTGCTTTTAGGGAATATCAGGATAATTTAGTAGTTCTCCAAAGTGAAACTTTGTATGCCTTACATGAATTCTCTGTATAGAACATATCCTCTTCCGTTAGCATGTTCTCCCTAACTACCAGTACAAGTTCAGTATAATAGGCAAGGGACATATCTCAGTCTTTCCTTATGACTTACTTTCTCATGTACTCTTTGGGACTGTGTTTCTAGGCAGCTGTTGTGCTGTGTATGGATGTGGGCTTTTCTATGAATAACTCTTTCCTGGTGAAGAATCCCCTTTTGAACAAGCAAAGAAGGTGATGACCATGTTTGTTCAACGACAGGTAAGTTTCAGATTGACCTTGAGCTTATTACCCATGTTTTAAGTACTTGTTGCTTTCACCTACTAATGCAAGATACCAGCTTCTTCATAATGTGTTTTGGGGAGTCTGGGGCATTTTCTTACATGTACTCGCATGCAAAGTTCACCTATTATTTTCTTTCTGTTCTGGCCCTTTCAATGGATATTACAGTTTTTATCAGAAACAAGAGGCAGTATAAAGTAATGTTTAAAAGTACAATTTCTAGAGATGCCCTGGGTTTGAATCCTTGCTCTGCCATGTCCTTTACTAGCTCTGTGATCTTGAACAAGTCCTTTAATTTCTTTGTGCCTAGTCCAATTATCTTTTGATGTATAACAAACTACCCCAAAACTTAATATCAGAAGTCACAGTTCTGTGGGATGATTAGGGTAGGTTCACTTGGGCTCTTTTCTCTTGAAACCTCTTATATAGTTGTTCCTGGATTCAGGCTGGGGCTAGAGTCATCTGAAGGCTCAACTGGGTGAGATGTCCAAGATGGTATACTCACATGGCTGGAGGATGATACTTATGGCAGCTGTGAACTCAATTGGAGCTCAGTCCATCAGCACCCTTACATGTATGTAGTCTTTCCATGTAGCTTGGGATTCTCACAGTGTAGCAGCTGGTTCTAAGGAGGTGTGTTCCAAAAGTAAGTATTTATTCTAACAGATCCTGCCAGTTTGGCTTGTTATGATCTAGTTTTGGAAATCCTAGAAAGCCATTTCTATTGGTTAAGCAAGTCACCAAGGCCAGCTCACATTTAAGGGTGAAGAATTAAATTCCCCTTCTTTATATAAAGAGCAGCCTGCAAATACATGGGAAAGGGGAATGAGTGGTAGCCATTTTGGTGATACCTATCACAGTCTTGTGTGTGATGTGAGAAAAATAATACCTCTCACATAAAGCCATTTTGAAGAATAAAAGAATTAATCTAAGTTAGCCAGGCACCAGTGGCTCACACTTATAATCCTAGCTACCTGGGAGGCTGAGATCAGGAGATCGAGGTTTCAGGCCAGGTTGTGCAAATAGTTTGTAAGGCCCCATCTCCAAATAACCACAGTTATTTGGACTGGAGGTGTGACTCAAGTTGTAGAGTGCCTGCTTTGCAAAGGTGAGCCTTAAGTTCAAACCCTTGTCCCTCACAAAAATAAAAGAATAAGAATTAATGCAGGTAAATTGCTTAGAAGAATACTTAGCGTATTGTAAACACTATGAAAGTGTTAGTTATTATTATATCTTTTGCTTTGTAAGACTGCCAACTGTCACTTTTGCTTAAGTCTATGAGGCCCTGCTTTATTCACTAGGTGCTATACCTCTGCTGTTTTTCTGGGTGTTTCTTCTTCTTCCCAACTGTCATTCTCAATTTCCTTAAATTCTGATGACCTGTTGTACTGATGTGTTGGTAGTATTCATTGCCATGCTCAATATTGTATATAAGTTTTTTTTTCTGCCCCCCATGCTTCTAGGGATTGAAACCAGGGCCTTATGCATGCATAAGAAGGTATTCTACCACAGAGCCACACTCTCAACCCCTAGGGTTTTTTGGTTTGGTGTTTTGTTTGTTTTTCTTTGACAGAAGTATGCTTTAGTTTTAACTTTTGGCCCTGCTCCGTCCATGAGAATCTAAGTGGGGCCAATCCCATGCCTCACTCAAAATTTCTTCCTTTCTCATACCCAAGGTTTTCAATGGAGCAGGATTACCTTGCCTTAAGATGAACTTTTATCAGGAAGCACATATTTGCACAGGCAGTATGCTAAATATTCTTGAACCCTGACAGCAGGGACCTTTACTCCATGTACAACTTATAATTATTGTTGGAGTTATGGGGAGTTTAATAGACCAAACAAAAATGATGACTGACAGAATTCTGTTTTCTCCCCACAGGGCACTCTTTCTGTCCCATCAATGTAAAAAGCCTGGGTTAATAATTAGTTGGGAGTGGGACTGCCTTTTGTGTCAGATACTATTTTTCATTTTTATGTTTTATTATGAAATGTTTCATGAAAGAAATAAATACAGAGAATAATGTAGTGGAAACTTATTTTCCCGTTGTCTCATGCTATATAATCCTAATGTATTACCATATTTGTTTGATTTCTTTTTCTTTTTCTTTTTTAAATAAAACAGTTTGTAAAGAACTTGAAGCTTTTCTTTTTTCTTTTCTTTAGAATTTTGGCAGTAATTACCATGCATATTTTATTTACTTTGGCATAAATAGGTTTTCATTAGTAATATTTAGAATTGTATAAAGCTGTCAAAAGTGTATATAAATGTGTTTTTGTGATACATATAATTCTGCTGCTTTTTTCTCAGCCTCATGTTTTTGAATTTAATTCATGTTAACAAATGTTGCACAAATTTATTCATTTTTTACTAGTAAAAATGAGTAATACTATTCTAGTGTGTAAATATTCTGCAATGTATTTTTGTGTTCTCTTTTTGATGGATATTTTGCTTGCAATTTTTGCCCTATTTTAAGTAGTGACAAAGTGTAAACTTTTATCCACTGTCTCCTTGCATACATATGCAAAAATTTCTCAGGCTATATATACCTGCCAGTGAAATTCCTGGGATATGAGCATGAACTTGCAAGTTTTCTTTGCTTTTTAGTCTCTTGGAAATTTTAACCTTGGATATATATTCTAGAAAAATAACCCTCTAAGTTGTCCATGATTAGTTTTCATTAAGAATGAAATTCTATCAAGACCATTTGCCATTCCCATTCCCTTGCCTTTACTTTTGCTGGAGTGAATAGTAGACTTGCAGCTAATAAAAAAGTCTACTCAGAACCTAGGAATTGTCATTGTCAGTAAGTGCCATGTTTCATCTAGTCCAGACCTCAAGGACCTGCCATAGGGAGGTATGATTGTACTGTTCCCGAAAGGTTAGTTATCTGTTGCCTCCAGATTGTATAATACAGTTTTCAGCCTTCTAATATTCTTCCCTAGGTGTTTTCTGAGAGCAAGGATGAGATTGCATTAGTCCTTTTTGGGACAGATGGTACTGAGAATGCTCTTGCTGGTGAGGACCAGTATCAACACATCACAGTTCATAGACACCTGATGCTACCAGATTTTGATTTGTTAGAAGACATTCAAAGAAGAATCCAACCAGGTTCTCAACAAGCAGACTGTATCCTTTTTTAGCCAGAGAAGACTTAAGAAATCTCCTTTAATCTGGGGAATCATAATCCAGTTTGGTGAGCCTCTCTGATAGTCCCAGCTCTGAGCATCTGGGGATATTTTGCTCTAGGAAGAGGGAGGTGATGTGTAGAATTAATCAGGTTGAATGCCTGGCTCCATGTCTTCCATTCACTTGCTTTTTCTTTGCATTAATGATATTGAGAGGTTGGGAGGCATAGGAGGAAGAAAATATTAGGGAATATGTATATTTATATTGAATATATACAGAGGGTTTGGTGGTAGTGCTGGTTAAAAATGTTTGGAGGTTCAGAAGGATGTTTGTAGCATTCTCTACCTTTTTCTAGATGGAGAATGTTTTTGTGCCAAAAAGTAGGTTGATATCCAAACAGATTTCCAGTTTCTTCCATAGGTGCCTGAATTTTAATAAATATCTATTCTAGGTATTTTTTTTAAAAAGTTAGTAGTACCATTCCTGATCACTTGGAGGTGCTGCTGTGTTAGGAGAGACTTATAGATACTGCATTATAGCTTACTTCATATTTAAGAATGGACTGTGATCACCAAAAAATGAGTTCTAGATACTGTTAAATGGCATTGTAATTTTTGGTTTAATGACTGAAATGTATTATATTAACCTTTCATTTTCTTTTTCACACTGTGTGTAAGAATGTATACTTTGATATATAGCATTTCTGCAAATATGTTAATGAAATAAATTTGGAAGGGCATTTGGTCAAATATTTTCAAGTCATCACATAGTCCAGTGTTACAGTGTTTCTAGCCCTGTGGGCTTTGCTGGAAAAAAACAAAACAAAATGAAGCCCTGTATGTTTGTGGGATGAAGGAACTGTTGGTGTTTTCCCTACCCTTAACTAGCTAAGTTCTGGATGCACTGGTCGTGTGTATGGATGTGATTCAACGTGAAACTGTGTAAGTGTCTCATCTGAAGAAAGTCAGAAATGAGCCTTTCTGCAAAAAATTATATGGGTTGATGTATTCAATGTATTGTGTGATGTGGTGTTAATCAAATAGCACATTTGTATGGCAAAGTGAACATTTGATAGAATTCAGGAGTTCAACCTCTCTGACTTTAAAAGAGGAGGAACTTACTTGTGGGAGTTTCTCTGGAGAAATAAACATTTTTTAAAAAATAGTAAGTGGTATGATCCATAAGTGATAGTGCCTAGTAACTTTGGCCAACTTCCTAACTCATTATTAATTACTCTGCCTTGAAAATATATGTCTTTGACACACACACACACACACACACACACACACACACACACACACTTTTGCCTATAGGAAAGACATTTCCACTAACATCCCTTATTATTTCTCAGTCTTTGTATAATCCTTTCCAACATCTTGCCACTAACCCTGAATGTAGAACCAGAGAAAGGTGTTCAGAAAGTGAACCTGCAAGGTTGAAGTTGTAGTACACTGGCACAGTCCCTTGTTTACATTTTGCCCACGAGCAGTGATCATATCTTTAAGCTAAGTGTTATGAATTCAAGGTAGGAATTCAGGAACATAATATTTTTTACAATGCTGAGAAATTTTGGCCAAGATGTTCAAAGTACGAAGTATGCCAGAATTGGTTTTGTGTTTCATAGGAACTCAACAGAGCATTAGCAATATGTAGACTTTGAGAATGTAATCACACTTAGTAACTGTATCTAGTTCAGTCCTTCATCACTATCTGCTTATTGAGCAAGTGTTTTTGAATTCATAGAAATTAATTCAGAATGTTTTCTTAACATGGTAACTCTCTTTTAGAGGAAAGAAGATTGAGAAGAGGCATATTGAAGTATTCACTGACCTCAGCAGTCCATTCAGCAAAGATCAAGTGGATATTATAGTTCATAATTTGAAGAAATATGGCATCTCCCTGCAATTCTTGTAAGATCCTAAGAACAATGTATGCAGACAGATCCTGTCAACTTTAATGCAGTGAGTGGGACTCTTAATGCAGTCACGAGAGTCTTCTCTTTTGGCTGAGTTGAAATTTGTCAAATGACTGACTACTCAGCTTACATTTACTGATTATTCTCTCTATTTATAGAGATGAGAGTCACAGTGGTATAGAGGAACTGAGCTCAGTAGCTGATTATTTGCGCACTGTTTTTGGATTCAAAAAACTGAGGAATTATAAGAACCTTTTGAGGATATTCAGTTTATACCCAAACAATTATCAGATTGATTTTTTTTTTCTTACACACTTAGAGAACTGTATCTATAGACAGTGATTTTGGATAGACAAAAGTGTCACGCTGGGAATCGTTTTATTACACATATAATGTTCACATTTAGCACACACATATAAAATGTAATTTGCTTATATATATTTAGAGATAGGGTTTACAAATTTTGGGAGAAAACATGTATTTAACAATTTATTAGGACGAGAGTCCTTTGTCTCACAATAACTTGAATTACCCCTCCATCTTTCACTTTCTGTATCTTATATCCCCAATAAAAAAATTTCTTTTCACTACACTAATCCTTTCTGTTGCATGTGAAATCTATTTTTTCTTGTCCTATTTTTGGTGAAAGCACAGTGATAGTATAAGATGTTGAATTATTAATCTTCTAGGAACATTTCATTTTTCAAATTGAGAGCTATACTAAGAAGCCTCTAGCTCAGAGTGGTAAACCTTCAGCTTCTTCAAATACCTGCTATCAGGAATTAAAGTCTTCTCTTGAATGTATGTACCTCATAACCCTGCTGAGGGACATCTCCTTTCTGTAGGAATATTGGAAAAGAGCTCAGAATAACTCCTCAAACTGATACTTCTTAAGATGGTACTTCAGAAAAATTAAGTGCTTTTTAAGTGACACTTCTTATTGAGTTGAGATTTTTCTTAGTACTTCAGAAACCCAACTCAGCTTCTGTTCCCTGTTCATGATCTCAGGATGCCTCCACATGGTTAAAGCACACTGTACCATACTTCTAGCAATGTAATTTGAAAGAGCTGCTGTTTATCTTTTTATTTTTTGATATGGGTCACACAGTAAGGTGTGCAGAAGAAGGAACATAGTTCTTTCATCTACTTGCTTATTACTTGACTGGTTGCATTTCTTTTTCTTGGATAATATGCTTTGTCCCTGTGCTATAAATCAGTAGCATAGAGTGTATGGTTTTATTGTTTGGCGTATTCCAGGTATGATCGATTGTTCTAGTTAGATTTAAAAAATTCTAGCAACACAAAAAGAAGTGTCGTATTCTGAGCAGGCTTGTTCCTTGGACATAGTTTTTAGTTTCTTCTACTGACAACTGAGAGAGCTTAATTGTGGTCAGAGGGTAGAAAGAACTGTTAGTGCAACTTGTTTTTCTAAACTTCCTGACTCTTAATTTTTCACATTGCTTCCTGGTCAGTGCTGTGGTAAACCGAATTCCTAAAGTTCCATGCCTTGCTCCATGGAAGCTTTTTATCTGACAGGTAATGTGACATGTCAATCTGTCATGCTAAGCAGGTGTAGAAAAAATTTAAACAAAAACCCTATTTTAAGTATAGCAAGTAAAAGACTAGAGAAATTGGCTTAAAAATGCCATCTATATAGTGTTAACCAACAGACAATGTTGAGTGAACTAAAAGAGATTACCAAATTCAGCTGTTTAGTTTCCAGAGGTAAGGTAAAGTGGTGTGCTTCAGTGGAATGAACCTTGCCCTTAGGACAGATAATTAATCTTTGCTCCATTCCTTATTAGTGTTATCATTTGGGCCAGATTTTTTCATCTTAGTTGCTTCAATTTCCTTTTAGAAAATGGAGGCAGAAATCTCTATTAATTTAATATATAAGGGTTAAATGAAATTGATTACTTGAAAACATTTATGAAGTACCATATAAAACGTTGTCATAAAATATATGTGGGTGGTTTGTTTTTTAGTTTGTCTATTGATTATTTAATATTTTTCATTAACTTGGTTATCTCAACCAAGTTCACATTTCAGTAAAACAGCTGGAGTGAAACATAAGAATAAAATCGGCTTTTACTTATGTCTAGCAATTTTCTGATTTCTGTGTAGGAATTCAATGTCTCCAATAATATTTGACTTTTAAATACTTGGTTATTTATTTATTACAGTGCTAGGGGTTGAATCCAGGGCATTATGCATGGTAAGCATTCTTTCTGCCCCTGAGCTGCATTCCTCATCCATTCTCTTATTTAATCCCTATACATTAGTAGGCTTTTCTTTTCTTTTTTTCCTGGTCTTCCTAATATAATACCTTTTTTCTAATCTCCTGGCTACAGTGAAAACTGACATCTTCTAGATTTGGCCCTCAGGCTATCATTGATTCCTGTTTTCTTTTGAATTTGAGACCACAGGTTTAAACACTGAGTCTCTCTTAGATCGTGGAGCTGGGCAACGTGAATTTATTTTAGTTTGTTCCTGTTGCTTTGACAAAATACCTTAGACTGAGTAATTTTTAAACAAAAAATGTTATTTCTCACGGTTCTGGAGGCAGGGAAGTCCAGATCACAGTGCCAAAGCACATTTGGTGTTTGATAAGGGATCTCTGCTTCCAAGGTGGCCCCTGTTACTACGTTCTCACGTGGCAGAAAGAGAAAAATGGGCAAAAGGGCATGCCATTCAAACTTTTATAAGGCCGCTAATTCCATTTCTGAGGACTCCATCATCATGACAATCGCTTCCTAAATGCCCCATCTCTGGGTACTAGCACATTGATGGTTAAGTTTCAACATAGGAATTTTGGGGGATATATTGAGACCATAATAGAGCTTGACTATTCAGAAGCAATGTAGAAGGGATCATTCTGAGAGAGTGAAACCATTATAAAGGCAAATGAAGGCAAAATGTGGAGACAGATAGTAAGAGGATCAGATATTGAGACCTGAGCCTTTATTCATATATAACCCTGCTTTTTGAATTATTTGATTATATAAGTTAATAAATCCTGTCCCTCTCCCTTTTACTGAATCAAAGAAGTTTCAGTCACTTCAAACTGAAAGAGTGTTGGCTGAGGTAGTTAAATGACATTTGACAGTTGAAAAATGTGGAGCTTGGTGAGAGTGACTGACTTTTCTATACCTAATGGATAGAAGTGACAGGATTGGAACCCAGTTTATTATTTGACATCAGAGTTTGTCCTCTTAACTATTGCTGATCTTTTCCTGATAGTTTGCCTTTCCCAATTGGCAAGAAAGATGGAAGTGGGGACAGAGAAAATGGCAACTTGGGCTTGGATCAACACAGTCCTACCTTTCCTCAGAAAGGAATTACTGAGCAGCAAAAAGAAGGTCTTCAGATGGTGGAAAAGGTGATGATGTCTTTAGAAGGTGAAGATGGACTAGATGAAATTTATTCTTTCAGGTAAAAAGTGAAAACACTGGTGACGACTTTCAATCTTAGCACTAAATTTCTGTCAATCAGAGGACTCCCTAATGCTTGTTTTTTTCTGGGCCACTCTTGAACTAATATTTGTTCTTTAATAAGTATCCTGAGTTTAATTAAAGAAGTGGTACACTCCCCTTAATGCCATTTTTTTGAGTTTTTGTGGTTGGCACAAAGTTCCTCATTTATTTCCAGGACTTGGGTGAATGAGATTTGGTAATATATTGGTACCACAAGGAGTTTAACCAGTCAATTTATAAGGATGAAATACTAGATTTCTTTTTTATGCCTATCTTGAGCACATTTCTTGTGCCTCTCCTTTTCACATATCTACACAAAACATTTTCTTTTCAGTACAGGGATTTGAACTTGGCTTTGCACTTGCAAGGCTGGTGCTCTACCGCTTCAGCCACACCCACAAAGTACTCCTACTTTTACAAAGTGGTATTGGTTATCCTCCTAAGTAAATGTGTCAGTATCTCCATATCTTCTGATTTAGGTTTGGAAAGCAGCATACCTATAGTGGGTTCTTCTTTTTTTTTAATTTTTTATTCCAAAATAGTTTGATTAGGCCACTCCTTCCAAAAAAAACTAAACCAAAACAACAAAACAAAACAAAACCAAAAAAATCAGAAACCCAAGCCCAAAATTTAAAAAATTCATAGCCAACTCATTTCACCTGAGTGTTGTAAAGGCAAAATGATTGTTAAAAATGAAGTCCCTGAAGTACTATCAACTGTAAAGCAAATTTCTCTTTTTGTCCATTCATAGAAACTATGGAAGAGACTGTCTTCTTTATCTGTCTTATTCTTGGTTAGATATACGTTTATTTTGAGCAGAAAACTGGAGAGGGATCAATACCATCTAGAACCATGTGTGTCTGAGCAGTCCAGTTTGGCAAAAGTGGCACTAGAATACTTTACCAAGCAGTATGACTTGTATGGATGCAGATTCTCAAAGATAATACTGCTTCATGTTCATAAATTAGTTCCAGTTTATCAGTCAATGTACAAAATATAGGTGGTATAAGAAAAGTTCTTGAAGTAAAAAATTTAGCAACTCAGCAAATATAACATTTTGATAGCTTTAGTATATATCTGCTCTGAGTTTTTTCTCAGCTATGATTTTAAATATTTCTGGTGAACTGTAATTGACAAGTAATACATCCTGATTTTGTAAACTTAGACACTTAAAAAATTTACAGCCAGGTGGCTCATGCCTATAATCCTAGCTATTCAGGAGACAGAGATCAGGAGGATTGTGGTTGGAAGCTAGCCTGGCCAAATAGTTCCGTGAGCTCCTGTCTCAAAAAACCCCTTCACAAAAATAGGGCTGGTGGAGTGGCTCAAGGTGAAGGCCCTGAGTTCAAACCCCATTATATATAAATAGAAAGTTTGGAAATGCAGTTGTAATTTCCAAGGGGTTGCTGAAGGAATCAATGAGGAATCTTATAATGTGAAGCATCTTGGATTGTGTGTGTTCTTGTCACAGTATGTGCAGATATATGTTCCTAAATTCTCTTTCAAACTTGGGAATATATGCCTTAAGCTAGCATATAAACCATGGTATCATAAAAAAGTTACAGACCAATATAAGTTACTATTTAAAAAATATTATTTGTTCCCTGTAGCATAGCAAGCAGATTAATTATTGACTATGCATTGTTCTAGCAATTTGAAGTTACTTTGACTTTGAGTTGGCCATGAAGATGTGGAGGAGAACTTTGCCATCCAGTGTAATAGCCAATAGCCACAAGTGACTATTGAAATTTAACTTTATTAAAATTAAATACATTTTGAAATTTGGTCCCACTGTCAAACTAGTCACATTTCAAATGTTCAATTGCCCGTTGAGCAGGCACGGTTAGAAATGGAATATTTCCAACATGTGAGAAATTGTACTGGACAACACTGGACAAGACTTACCCTGCGTAGATCTTAGGAAGACAACTTGACTTCTACTTGGGGAAATTTAACTCTATACGCAACAGATCCAGTTGTTCTTAGATCTTATATATTAGATTCTGATCTTTAGAAATTTCCCAGAAACAGAATCCATACTTCATGATGGTGATAGGCCTAACTCATACTTGGACAAGTATTGTCTTATGAGACAGGTTCAGACCCATCTGTTCCCTAAGACAAAGCCAAAGTATACTAAAAATCTTGGGAACAGGGTGTCAGGTGGAATTTGTTGTAAATTGATTCGGAAATTGGAGTCTGTCAAAGTCTGTTTGTCCATAACTCAGTGGATAATGTAAGATACTTCTCCACCTGTTTGTAGATCTGTTTTCCATCTGTACCAAGGAAACCAATCATAAGGCCTGGACTGAATGCTTTGAATGTATTAGTTCATTAATTCTTTTGCTCTTTATTTTAATGAATACCACAAATTCTACCCCTCCTATAGTCTTCTCTGTTGTGTTTGATTAGGGGCAGATAAAAATAGAATAGATCTTTATATTGTTTAAATGAAGCAGCACTTTCTATTGTGTCTATGTCTCTCCTTCAGCCCTTCCCACCAGTAATATCTAGTTTTCTAGATATTCCCACTAGCAATATCTAGTTTACCTAATGACTAAATATAGACTACTAATTTCCTTTATCCCCTGGGAAGTCTGTATTTAACTTTCTCTGTTTTGTGCATATAAAAACAGATCATGTCTTTTATTTAAGAGAATTGACATTAACTAATGAGTTGCATGAGTTGTGAGCAGCGATGTTATAGGATGGTGCCTTCCTTTTGATATCAGAGCAGAGATTCTTACCTTCAGATCCATTGTTTTCAGGGAGTTGGTGAACTCTTTATATTGTGTGCCAACTCATTTGTGAATGTGCTTTTATCACATCCTCAAAGGTGTCCTTGGTCCTGAAGAAATATTAAAAACCACTGGCAGAGTTGAAAGAAATGATTGAATAGAGGAAGAGAGAGCTGTTCCTTTTCACCTGTCAATAAAGTAATTCAAGTTCTATTTCCTCCTAAGCCGACTCACTTGTGTTCTGGCTCTCTCCCAACTTGTGGTTGTCATTTTCCTGCCATCTCCTGCTGTTCCTCTCTTTATATTCAGCAATAGTTCACTTCCTATTCTAGCCCAAGTTTCATTATACATTTTTCTTTTTTAAGTGAGAGTCTGAGACAACTGTGTATCTTTAAGAAAACTCAGAGGCATTCCATGCCCTGGCCCTGCCAGCTGACAATTGGTTCCAATTTGTCTATAAAGATTGTGGCCTATAAATCGGTAAGTAGTAAGTAGACACTTTTAGAAGAAATGTTACCATGCAGATAAATATGCTTATGTAAGAAGCTGGCAATTCATGTGTGGGTTATTCAGAGCATAATTACTGCTTCTCTGACTGTTCTCTTTTTTATTTAATCTCTGTTTAGCTTTTTATGTAAAAGGCATGCTAGGAGAAGTTTTAAAAATTGTCTATAACACAGTTTGATTCCCTCTTTCTCTTTCCCTGCATTGATAATTGATTGCTAATCTTGAGTTCAGGCTTCTCTCTTTTTGAAGAAAGAAAATATAGTAGATTAACTTGTCATTGCAGTTCAGCAGGAATATATGTAACGCATAAGAGTTAAGTTTACAATTTTAGAGACTCATTCACACCTAATTCAATTATTAATGAACTGATAGTAACAACATCTATGAAATGTCAAAAACTGATGAGTTGTTAGTGTGAAATTGCATTTTGGAATACATGTACATTTATACATAATAGCATATTTTCCAGAGTTGTTGCTTTTGGTGATTATTTGAGGAAATTCCAGTCAATATAGGAATCTGATCCATGCCACCCAAAGAGCTTCCTTGCTTTTTTTTTTTTCTTTAAATGTACCAAAAAAAAAAAGCCATTTTTAGTATACAGGATAAATATAAAAAACATATTTTTGTATATTCAAGAACTTAATTCTAAAACATGTGATGATACATGTGTTTTGATACTTATTGAGAACCTTGAAGATAGTTTGTTATTTCTTGAGTCCTATTAACACTAAGAATAGTATCCCTAGAAGAAGAATACAGTCTCCTCTCTTTCTTCTTTATTTGTGTTTCTTGTCAATTTCTCTCTTTTTATTTTTGGTTGGACTGGCATTTGAACTCAGGGCTTCACGTTTGCAAAGTAGGTGCTCCACCACTTGGTTAAGACTGCCAATCCATTTTCTGACTACTGATATATTACTCTCCCTTTCTTTTTTCTTTTTCTGTTTTTTTTTTTTTCCCCCAGTACTGGGGTTTGAACACAGGGCCTCATGTTTGCTAGATAGGTACTCTACTACTTGAGCCACTCTGTCAGCCTTTCCTTTCTTTTTTATTTATTTATTCTTTTGGTGGTACCGGGGTTTGAACTGAGGACTTCACAGTTACTAGGCAGACACTCTCCCACTTGAACCATATCCCCAGATCTTTTTCCTTTTAGTTATTTTTCAGGTAGGGTCTTTTGTTTGCCCACGATGGCCTAGACTGGGATTCTTCTACTTAGACCTTCCACATAGCTAGGATGACAGGTGTGTGCCACCATGCCCAGCTTGGTAATGGAATCTTACTAACTTTTTGCCCAGGTTGGTCTTGAACTGCATTCTTCCCTATCTCTGCCTTTCAAGTAGCTGGGATTATAAGCCCTTTTTTATTTAAAAAAAAATATATTTATATACATATATTATATAAAAATATATAAATATATATGTAAAAATGTATATATAAATATATATATATGGTCTCCTTTTATTAGGCAATCTAAGTGTTTTACATAGAAAATATTATGTATATTCACATATTAGTATTTGTCTGTAGCTTACCCTGAGGGAAAATGGTAAGATACTGCTTTATTGCTTTATTATGAAATTATTGTAAGGTATTTCCTATTTTGAAATAAACTAAGATTTGTATTATAGGCAAGAAAAAAACAAAACAGTATATCTAGAGTAATTGTTCTGGACTTTTGTTTGTGAACCAGAGTTTTATTGGATTTTCATCTTCTGTTAATGAGAATCCCATCGTTCCTTATTTTCCATTTGTCTTTTGGAGATAAGATTGTACAGGAGAAAGCTAAAAAGACTTGGATAGTTGTGGATGCAAGAACCCTGAGGAAAGAAGACATACAAAAAGAAACAGTTTATTGCTTAAATGATGATGATGAAACTGAAGTTTCCAAAGAGGATACTATTCAAGGTATGCTAGTAAGAGCTTGTACTTTTACCTAAAAGAGAGTTTCTTCAAGTTAACTTGAGGCAAGGTAGAAGTTAATGCTTACTTAGAGATATTTCTCTGAATTACAAAGTAGCAGCCGTCTGAGGGGACAATGAGACACTGGGTCCTTCAGTTCATCTGTGCGGTTTTAGGTAGAATGGTTCCTAGGATGGCACTTGGGTATTTCATCCCTCTGAATTTTAATGTCTTCAGTGGTAAGACTTAATATTTGGCTTTATTTTAATTTTGAAACCCATTAGCTAAAAGAATGCTTATATTAAACTGGCTACAGCAAGTTTTTTGTTTGTTTATTTTATTTTGGACTTCCATGATAATGATTCTTCCAAGTGCCAATTTCAGGTTTTGTATTTTACCAAATATGCTCTCTTAAGTTAGTTTATGTTATAATAAAAATTATTTGTGTTTGTTATATTAGTTTATACTTACTAGGATCTTTAAAGTTGTGATCATATATCTCTACTCAGAGAACTTAAAAAGTAACAGAATTTCTGACTGTTCAAGAGCTAAAAATCATAAGATAACAAATGATGGTTAAGATAGCAACCAGGATCCTTTGATCAGTTTATTACCAGGCTATGCACTATCCAGTGTAGTTTCGATTTGCCAGTCTTGGAAAAAAAAAAAATTGATCTATGACACTATCTCATTGTGTATAGTGAAGAGTGTTAGGGAATTGGGGTGGTTTAAAGGTGGTGGTGATTATGACTCCTTTCTTTCTTCTAATGTCCTGATGGACACAGGAAGTAGTTAATACCCTATAATTTCTACTCATTTTTTAATACTCATTTCAGTTGCATAGAACATGAAATTTGGAATTAGACTTGGGTTAGAATCATGGCTATCATTGGCTGATAATTTGGTTCTGTTATAAGAGCTGGCCTATAATAGGAAGAATAGCATGATTAAAGGTACAAAACTGGGAAAGTCAAGGGCCTAGGGTGTATCCAATTGGCAGCCAGCATTTTCTCTTTAAATTGTCCCAACAACTAAATGAAAACGACAATCTCATTATTTTCATTTTACAGATGAGGAACCAAGGTTAAAAGACATTCATTAGCATACTCAAAGTCACACAGCTAACAGTTTGAATCTAGAGTTGTGCTCCTCCAGAGTCTGTATTCCTACATACTATTCAGAATTAGAACTGACTAGTAAAGAGTTTGAATAATAGACTAAGCATTTATACATAACTTTAAGAACAACAGAGTCATTTACAGATGAGGAGCTTTATAGTTTTACCATTTTTAGAAGGTATCATTGAAATTGTATTTTAGGAAATGAATATGACAGCTAGGTACAGGATGAATTGGAAGGAGAAGGGACTAGAAAGGAGGTTTCCATTATTGGTTGTTAGGAAAGAACACTGGTTATCTTAGACAAAAGGAAATTTCCTGGTGGGGAAATGTAAGGGGAAGAGTTAAAAACTGGGTTCACAGAGCATACAAGCATATCTTTTCTCCCTTACCTTTTTTTTTTTTTTTTTGGTGGAACTTTGCTTGCAAAGCAGGCACTCTACTGCCTGAGCCACACCTTCAATCCATTTTGCTCTGGTTATTTTGGAGATGGGGGTCTTGCGAACTGTTTGCCCAGGCTTGTCTTAAGCTGTGATCCTTCTGATCTCAGCCTCCCAAGTAGCTAGGATTACAGGTATAAGTCACTTTGCTCGATTCTCCCTTACCTTTTTGCAGTGACCCATAGCCTCACTTTGCCTGTCTATCTTTCTCCACCCTATCATATGTAGAGTACTCTTTCTTACCCAGAGGGATTAGTGTGCACATGTGAGCAAAGGAATATGGTTATATGTTGTAATCTGTTTTATACTTTCTGTAATGAACAAAAGTTAGTTATTTGCCTTTCAGCTGGAAGACCAGAAAATACAAGACAGTCTGGATTAGAATTTTCAAGTTACTGTTAAAAAATTCCAGTAAGAAAATGACTGATGACAGAGAAAAGTTAGAAAAATATTTGGTTTAGATACCACTCTTTATCATGTGCCATGGGGTTCCTTGTTCATATTTTTGTTGACATTTTTGTTTTTGCTGCCATCTTTTTTAAAAAAAAAATACATGAGGCTTGGTTTGGTAGCTCAGCACTGTAATACCAGCTACTTGAGAGGCAGAGGTCAGGAGGATCATGGTTTAAGACCAGCCTGGGCAAAAAGCAAGACCCCATGTCAATAAAAAAGCTGAGTTTGGTTGTGTACCTGTTCCAGCTAAACAAAACATAAGTAGGAGGATGCAGTCCAGGAGGTTCTGGACAAAAACACAAGACCCTATCTCAAAAATAACCAATGCAAAATAAAAACAAGCAAAGAAAGTAAAAGGGCTTAAGTGGTGGAGTGTGTGCCTGGCAAGCTCCAGGCCCCGAATTCAAAACCCTAGTAGTACAACAACAACAACAATAACAACAACAAAACCCAGACATACATGCAAATAGAAATGTGTTTCTTTTAAATTACATACATGGCATCAACAGACAGGAAAAACTGAACACTGGATCACAGAATCTACCCCCTGGACTCCCAAGGGTTTTTTAGTTTGTTGTTTCTTGAAGCAAAGATGAGTATGCGTTTCCTTTGCATTTACCCAAGGCCAGAAGTCTTGGATTTTGATGGTTCTTTTCCCTACAAGGCATATGAGATACTGTGTATTGGAAGGGCATAGCCTTCCATAGAATAGAGGTCATGTAAAAGGGTTGGAGGTTTTGGTTTTTTGGTTTTGTTTTTGGAAGCCAAGAGTCTATATTTATATAAATATCCTAAGTAATTGAAAAGAAAAACATAATCAAATTCTAGAAATAAAATAAATTTAAATGCTGAAAAATACACAATTTATCAATTGAATGTTTGTAAACAGAAGAGTTTTGGCTTCTTCCATTAAGTATTTGTATCTCCAGCATGCATTTTTAAAAACATTTTGTTCTGAAAATTTCCTGTGGGTGTTTTTTTCTGTGGATCTCCAGATTTCTGGATAAGTGTGTTCATATTATTATGTTTACAAATCATGCTTGTACTTTAGTTAGCCATGGTTTATCTTTGGAGGATAACTAGTCTGTCGCATTTGCTACATTCTTTTTCCTAGGCTGGATCATCATTAAGGTAACTAGATTGCAGAAGATGCTACTTAAAAAATGTAATTAGATTTTAATCGTTTCTGTATTGTGTATATGGTTTGTGTCTGCTTCTGCTTATTCCTGTTGATCACAAGGGGCAGTAATTCGATTCCAGAGAGTAGAAGATGGAGGCTGGCTCTGGAGTGTGCATGTATTGTTAATGTATGCACAGAGCTCATTTCAGCTTGGAAAAAATGCGGCCCCATATGCTTAATAGATGCTCTTCTCTCCTTCTCTAGGGTTCCGCTATGGAAGTGATATAGTTCCCTTCTCTAAAGTGGATGAGGAACAAATGAAATATAAATCGGAGGGGAAGTGCTTCTCTGTGTTGGGATTTTGTAGATCTTCTCAGGTATAGTAATTACTCTGCAATTGTGAACAGAATATATGAGCTCTCCCACTGCTGTTACTTGGGATGGTGTGCTTTTGATTGGTCATTTTGTTTACAATACATACTTATTTCTAAAATGCAATTTGGGGGTTAGTGCTGCCATCTTTGATTTTTGAGGAAAAAAACCAACATGTAGAGGTGTCTTAGTGTAAATCTAAAGATACACTCACTTACTTACATCATCATAGCTCATAGTAACCTTAAAGAAACAACATCCAGTTCTTTGCTGTTATATTGCTGTCTCTAAACTGTTTTGTATAGTGAAGCATTTTAGATATTTGAAGTTCTGACTGGGTTTTCCATTAGCACTAACTCTAAGCATTAAACTCTGAGCATTAAATCATTGATTTATGCTGGTCATCGTTCTTCTCAATGTCCAATGTAGGGCTCTAGGATGTGAAACTTATCTATAAGTCACACATTTTTTTAGACATCAAGGCACAGATTCACAAAATAGACACAATGGGAAATGCAGTAATTCACCATGATTGTTTAAAGATTAAAGCTAAGAGATCTTGGGTTAAATGTTCTTGAGTTAGATAGCAAAGGAATACATTATAATTAATAAATATATGCTTTTTCTTTTCTTTTTTTGGTGGTACTGGGGTTTGAACTCAGGGCCTCATGCTTGCTATGCAGGTGCTCTACTACTTGAGCCACACCCCCAGTCCTTTTTATGTGAATTTTGTCTATAGGGATAAAGAGATTTTTATTGGAGATATCATGTGAGAATTACAGTGAATTCAGAATTACCCAGTATTCTGAATTTGAACTTCTTAGTACTGCTCTGGCATTTTTTTTTTTTTTTTTTTTTTGGTGGGACTGGGGTTTTGGCTTTGAACTCAGGGCTTCACCCTGAGTGCAGGGGCTCTAGAGCTCTACTGCTTGAATCACACCTCCAGCCCATTTTGCTCTTGTTAGTTTTGGAAATGGGATCTTGCAAAGTATTTGCCTACACTGGTTTGAAACTGTGATTCTCCCGATCTCAGTCTCCCAAAGAGCTAGAGTTAGAGGCATTAGCCACTGGTACCCGGCAAGATGGGAAAGAATTTAACTAGAACTTCCCCCAAATGTCTGACTGTTCTTTGAAAAGTCATTTTGGTACATTTGGAAAAGATATTATTAGGTGCTCTTTAATAAGTCAAGAACTTTTACAGGTTCTAATAGGGCAAATAAATCTATGTGGATATAACAAACTTAATTATTCTGATAAGTTTTAGAATAATAGTTTTCCTTTTTGTTTGTTTGTTTTGAGATAGAATCTTGCTATGTAGCTAGGCTGGCCTTGAACTCATGATCCTCCTGGCTCAGCCTCCCAAGTACTGGGATTATAGGTATGTGCCACTAAATGTGGCAGGATAATGGTTTTCAAATGGGAAATGGAAATGGAGATAAAAGATACTTGAATTATATTGGCCTCACACCCAGAGTTTTAGATTCATTCTTCTTGAGCTGCTGTTATAGAAGTACTCCTAATTTCTCAACTATAGAGGTGGGAGGATAGAAAAAAAAAACAATGAGAAACACTGCCAAGTATAGCACATGGCATGTTCTTATAAGTAAGCTCCAGGTGCCAGATTACACAGATCAGAGAAGTTGGTTTTGGTAGATGGGTAGAGGTGGGTATGATTTCTGAAACTCTTCTGTATTCATTTTTTAATACGATATTGGTAGAACTGCTGTTAACTCCTCTCGTACTCTGCTAGATAATTTAATTAAATTTAAAGAGGGAGAAAAGAGCATGCTGTACTTATTTTTGGTTTAACTGTTCTCCTTTTTTCCAATCCATCCCCCCCCATTTGTACTTTAATTTGGTCTCTGCAGTTCATCAGAGCCTTGTCACTCATGTTAGGATGAACCCCAATCCATTTGATTCTGTTTCCAAGGGACTTCATGATCTAATTAATTTCTAGTCTAATTTTTCACCTTTCCCTTTGCACTATAGCCCTGCACTACTCCAGAAGTAGTTCCCTGAATGTCCTTTGCTTTTATGTCACACTGTTATCTCTGCCCGGGACCTGTGCCCAGACCTTTTTCTTGGTTAGTTCCTACTTACCATGTCTTGACTTAGATGTCACCGTTTGCATAAACCTTCCTTAAACCCTCCTGTCCAAGTTTGGCGTCCTTGTTATGTGTTCTTATGACACCATAGAACCTTGGACTATATACTGCATTGCAGATAGTTTCATGTTTACCTCTCTAAGCTTCTGAAAGACAAAAGTCATATCCTGTTCACTGTTGTGTTTGTAGTATCCAGAACAATGTAAGACACATACTAGGTGCTCACATTTGTTGTGGTGAATTGAATTGAGCCTTAAGTAATAAGTTGTTTCTAGTAGCTACAAATGTTTTCTGGTAAGAATATTTTGAATAGGATTTCTTAGTAATGTATGGCATTATGGTTATATATCTTTTTTATTCTGCATCAAAACCAATTTTTTTCTCTCTTACTGTTGTAGGTCCAGAGAAGATTCTTCATGGGAAATCAAGTTTTAAAGGTTTTTGCAGCAAAAAATGATGAGGTGAGTTGACTGTGGATTTTCCAGGTAGTGCTACAGAATTGAATTCTCATTTTAGGAAAATTAGTTGTTTGTGGCATTATAGTTTAAAATGACATGAATTCTTACAACAGCAGTAGTAAAATTTACTGACCTTTAACTTCGAAAATGGAGAAATGATAACTTAGTTTGATTTAGCATGAGCACAAAACCTGAAGGCATGGTACTGCAATTGGAAATAAGGTAAGTATTAACAAAATCATTTTGAACAGTCGTGTTTAGATGTGGGAATTTCATGATCAAATGTTAATGAGGGGTAGGGTCAGATTGACATTTAATTTTTATAAACATTGAACATTTAGTGCTGGTATAAGCACTCTGGAAAGGCCCTTCAGTAACTCATTCATTGCAATACTTCCATTAACAGGGAGATTTGTCTTTTCCCCATTCCCTCTCAAGTCACTCCTTTCCCACCTTCCCAAGATTGTCAGGTTGGTTTCTGCCTGGGTGTAATAAACCTTGATTTTCGCATCTTATACTCCTACCTCCTTCTTGGTACATATTTTATTCCTGACCTCTAAGTTAGAACTTACTATTTCCTTGGAGATGTTAATCTTAACTAGAAGATTGCAATCTAGAATCTGTTTAAAACAGTTTAAAAAGATCCTGAAGTGTTTATGTTTGAAATTATAAACTCGGTGTAGAGACTTATTTGAGGTAGGAATACTGTGCTGGGAGGTAGAGTCCTCTTTTTCTCTTCACTTCTGAAAAGTAGCTCATTGCTGGTCTGATAGAGGGATATGCCATTATTCTATGAGAACAGTTGAAATTAAAAGAAGAGAATGCTTGACTTCCATTCTGTACCGAACAGATTTATTAGAACACCACAAATGTATGTGAATCTTTGTATTTTGAATCAGGTTCTCTAAGAAATTGTACCAGTCTGGTATGTATTGTCAAGCCATGACTTCTTTTTAATGTCTGCTGAGGTTTTAACTCCCACTTATCCCTTTACACAAAGAAAATTCTTACCACTTCATGAGAATTGCTAGCTATGCAGTAAGTGATGTCATATCACAAAGCTGTGTGTAGACATGGCAAATGATTCTCTAGACTTTCTAGTTAAGTGCAGCCTGTGAGTTGTGTGATTCAAATCTGGCCTCATATAAGTAACTAATTTCTATTGCCAAAAGTCAAATAAAAATGTAGAAACAATTCTCTAGTAAAGGAACTTTTATTAGGGAATAAAGAAGAGGATTACAATCTGGGGCACACATACAGGCCTGTTCACCTCTGGTATGTTAGAAGAACACAGAAAAGTTTGGGGGCTTTAATAGAACAGAGAAATCCATGCAAGTTTTTGGCCTGAGAGAGCTGGTAAGCTCTGATTGGTGAACTGTGACAATTCCCAAGTAAAGCAAGACTTAAGGTTATAGTTGGCAGTTCTGTCATTAGTTGCTAAGTGTAGATAGTTCTAAAGATAGGGGAGGCTGTCTCATATTGGCTCTGTGAGATAATTCCTGGAGTGGGCATTGGTAATTTGGGCATTTTCCCCTTCTTTCCCATGGCCCTTCAACTCTGCTTTTGTGGGTTGTGACAGAAATGACTACATTTTGTGTATCACATGTTGATGTTGTATATTATATTATAGGGTCAGTTTGAGGTCACATAAGTAATGACTTCTTCATCTCCTAGTGCAAGGGATACTCTTTGGTGTCAGTTTTTGATGTGGTAGTCAAAAAAATAGTATGTTATAGAGCTTATAAGATAAGCAGAGGATTAAGAATATTGTGTCATACAAACACTTCCAGTTAAAAAATTGCATAGAGAAGATTTGTGTGGGTAGACAGGGGAGTAGGAACATTGACAGACATAATAGCACTCTTCATACAACTAGAGGATGAATTTCTATTCATGTGGAATAGAAATTAATCTATACATCATACCAGAGGGGTGAACTGGTGAGTTTTGTTCCAGGTGAAGAATTATTTTGTCTGGAAGTATTACTATCTCCAAATAGATTGTTTTCTTGTCAGGCAGTTGGATCGCCATCCCTGTAAGTTTCTAAGCAGTCTCCAATACTACCAGTTAGGTGCATTGTGTGGGCTTTTGAATTAGATGGATATTACTTAGATTTAGCTTTTTAACTAAAATATTAGGTGATTCTGTGAATAGCTCCCTTTAAAAATTTTTTCTCTGGGTATTAGCATATAATTATTTTTTGTACAGAGAATCTATATTTTTTTGTGCTAATTTGCATTGTCTGTGGAAAGAAGGAGAGAAGGAGAGAAAGGAAATGGAGCTTCAGTTGAGTTAAATACAGGTGTACTATTGTGTTTAATAGCAGCCATTCATGACCCTGTCCTTCCTTTCTTTATATATCCTGATTGGTCCTGTCAAAGACACACAGATAAAAACTTCCAAAAAATTGTAAGGAATCTCTTCCTCAGACTCCTGTTTTTCTTATCTGATCCTCTCTTATGGGGCTTAATAGAACATACACCACCTGTTTGTTTCTTCTTTCATTTCTGCTAGTAAAGAATGTATTAGAGTAAGGTCAGAGATTCATTTTTGTTTTCTGACAGGGCCTAAAAGAGTGCCTAACAAAGAACAGGCATAAGTAAGTATTCCTTGAATTGAGCTGAATTCATCTATTATGAAATCTGTAGAAGGTTTTGATGGCAAGGTATTGCGGCTACAGGTTTTTATGGAGAAAATGGTAATACACATAGCTAACTGATACAGGTTAGCTGTGATACATTTTGTTTGGGGAGTTTGGGAAAGAAAGAGAGCTGAATAAAGCAAATCTGAAACTGAGAGGTCATCAATTTACTGAACCTTGTGTTAGAAGCTAGAGAACCAGAGATTTGGAGGGAGCATTCTAACCAGCAGTAAATTATATGAGCAAAAGCATTAGGGGAGGGAAGTACAAGACCTGCTCCAGATCACTGATTAGCTCATTGAAGCTAGAATAGAGGAATCATTGGAGGTTTTTATGGAAGGGGATTACATGATCAGCTCCATGAACAGGGAAGGCAGTTATGAATTTGAGAGATAGCATAGACATAGAATTAAATTGAGGGATGAAAAAGGTGGTATTTTCAAAGGCTTTGGGGCTCTAGTTTTGTTGAGTGGATAGTAGTATTAATGGAAGTAGGGAATATAGGAGGATAAAAGGGGGAAGATAATAAATGTAGTTTTGGTCATGGACTGTTTCAGATCCCTGAAGATGCCACATTGGGTACCAATATATATACCAAGTAGTAGGCAATGTAAGTCTGGTTTTAGGAGTTTTAAAGCTGAATATACAAATTTTTGACTCTGATCTCCTGAGACTGGATGAAGTAAGTAATTTCCAAGTTGAGTTTTAGAGTGAGAAAGGAGAGAAAGTCCAAAAGTAGAATCTAAGATAATCAGGAGAAGAGAAGAGCTTGGGAGAGGATTGGCTCACACAGTAGAATAATCTCTTTCTGAAGCCAAAGAAAGGGAATGTGCAGAGAGAGGAGGATGGGCAGAAGCCACTATGTATCTACTGGTGGCATTGGGAACCAAGGACTCAGCAAGCAGAAGGCCATGGTGACTCCAGAGTATAGTTTCAGTAAGAGCCATTGCTGGATTAAAATGAAGAATAATTGTGTTCTAAGTTATGGTAATGGCAAAAGTAGTATTTCATGAAATTTTGAGAAGAGAAGGAAAGATAAGATACAGCAATTTATGGCGAGAGGAACAGATTTTGTTTAGAAGGACTCAGTCTTGAGTTTGTTTATAAGGTAAAGTTATGAATTCAGAGGAGAGGAAAGGTTGAAGCAATAGAGTATTTAGTGAGTAAAGTCCCAAAAGAGGCACACTATATGTATAGTTTGGTGTTGAAATGAATAAAGAACACTTTAATTGATTGATTGATTTAATGCGGTGTAGGGATCAAATCCAAGGGCTTATGTATACTAAGCAGGCTTCTACCACTGATCTATATGTTCACCTGCTGGGGGCACTTAAAAAATTCTGAAATAGGAAAGTATATGGTACTTAATATAAATATTTAGTTTTTTGTCAACATTCTTACATATTGGACACGTGCTAATAACCGCATCTTTCTTCATAGGCAGCAGCAGTTGCAATTTCCTCCCTAGTTCACGCTTTGGATGAATTAGACATGGTGGCCATTGTTCGATATGCTTATGATAAAAGAGCTAATCCTCAAGTCGGTGTGGCTTTTCCTTATATCAAAGAGGCCTATGAGGTAAAATCCACCTGTCTTTTTATTTGTATTGCCCTTTATTTATATTCTTTATTCAAAGCTTTGTTTCTCATCTGTTAAGTGCATGGGAATTATTTGGGGATCTTGCAGATACCAGCTCTGTAGGTCTGGGGTTGGGTCCAAATTTTGCATTTTTTGCAGCTAGCAAGTAATGTTGGTACCTCTGGTCTGTGAATTATGCTTTCAGTTGTATGGAAACAACATGAATTTAAACGCATGTGAGGAGCTTTTTATTAAATCAATAAAAGTTAACTATGATCTTATTAGTTCTCATCCTTCTTGACTTCTCAGAAGAGAAATTACCTCCATTTTAACAAATAGGGTCTATGAGTAAAGGTTGAGGATGTGATTTTGTTGTGATATTGTAAAATTTAGTTTATTTGAGGGCTCTTCTCTACAAAATACAGGTCTAAATTCCTTACTATTTCCTATTTCTCAGGGAACTTACTGTGGCAGAACTGTAAGGAAAAGACAAATATCTTGACATTCAGGTCAGCCTTCCGGGCACCATGACTTTTCTCATTTGTTCTACTTGGTCATGCATTTTTACAGTTATAATTTAGTAGTCTCCCTTTTAAGCATTTCTTTCATGTTTAATACCTTTCTTACTACTTGCAGTTATAAACAGTCAATAGGAGACGTCAAAACACTTAATCGTTTATACGCCAGGTTTGAACTAATTTTGAAATATTTTTGTTGTGCTATTTTCACTGCATTTGGGACCATTTTAAAAATATTTTGCCATTAATTTGGTTGTTTCTGTTTTTATCTCCTTTCTTTTTCATTAGTGTTTAGTGTATGTGCAGCTGCCTTTCATGGAAGACTTGCGGCAATACATGTTTTCATCACTGAAAAATAATAAGAAATGTGCTCCCACAGGTGAGTATATTTTCATTTAGCTTACTAATGACTACATGAAGACTGTTCTTGGGAAATCACAAGGCTGCAGCCATTGGTTCAGGCCAGGATTTCATGCATGGAAGTAATTGGATTCTAGTCATACATTCACACGTAGTAATGATGATGATGATTCAAGTATTTTTCCTGTAGCAGGGATAGGTTTCCTCTAAACGCTCCAAACATTATCTAGTTCTCCCTTCTGAATTTGAGCACGTATCTAGGGAGCAGCTTGTTGGTGCTGAACATCCATTCTCTAGTCCTAAGCAGAAAGTTTGCCCCTACTGAAGTGAATTAGTGTGTAGTATCCAAACTGTGATTTAGTGTCTGCGTGTTATCTGATGTAACTGAAATGAAAGTACAATGTTAAGATTAACTTTTCTCCTTGCTCTTTCTTTGTAGTTTACAATAATAGTCCAAGTCTTATTGTTACTTATTTCTAGCTTTTAGGAGTTACTTTGAGAAAGGCTATTATTAAGCATCTGGCTGCATATGTCAGGGGGCTGCAGAATGATTGTCACAGTCACAGGTCCTGTCTTCCAGAGAGCTCACTATTTAAGACAGTCGTAATGTTGTTGGAGGCACAAAGTAGAGAACATACCAACAACAATAACAAATGCTAATGAATGCTTTAGTTTAAATAGATCATCTGTGTCAGTGTGGATTAGGAATTGCGAAGTGAGTCTTCAAGTGGGGCTCTCCCTGTGCCTTTGGTAGGATTCTTTGGGAACAGTGTGGTATAAAAAGGCCAAGAATCAAATGGGTCAGTAGTAGGGCTCGTGTCTTTACCTTTCTTCTAGAGATGAGTCCCTCTGTATCATGGTGGAGGCAGGCATGGACCTGAATGTATAGAAGTTGTCATTGTTATAGTCTGTCCCTATCTTTTGATCATTCCAAACTTTAAACAAGTGGAATATTTTTAAAAAGAGAACTTTGTTAAGATATTATCTTACATATATCACTCAGGGTCTACAAAATTAAATGCCCTTTGATCTGTTGATCTGTTTTCTGTGACTTAACATATTTCTGTTTACATTCTGCTTGTGGAAAAATGGATCCTTAAAGCTGTTAGGCATATTTGCCAAGTCGTCATTTATGTGGCATTTGCGATGCTGGAGTGATCTGGCCTGATGTTAGCTTGTATTGCAGGTGAAACTCACTGAATGTTCACATGTACAAGTACCAGCTTCTAACTATTGCCAGGTAGACTCTGCACTAACTGTCATCTTAAGATGGTGATAAGTGCTCCATTGCTGGAAACCTTTCCTGGAAAGTTCAAACACAGTTAAGAAAGCAGTGTCTCATGATAAATATCTGTATATTCTTTCATTTTGTGGTGGCTGTCTGAAAGGGATATCTGAAGAATAAAAGCATGAAGTACTTTTCAGAGACTGCTTATTCTTTTCCACCTTTTGTCTCTAGATTAAATCTAAAAACAGGGCTTTAGCTTAACAGCTGAACTGCTTTGAATCAGCCGAATGAAAGTTATTTGGTAATATAGTTAGAAGCATTTTTGGGAAGAGTTATCTTTCAGTCACATTAGGTTAGACTGTGCCATTTTTGTTGATTTCTTGGATTTTTATTGAGGAGCATATACTCATGTTAGGTATTAGGCAAGATATAAAGAAGTTGTTGTTATGTATCTGCCATCGAGGAGCTTTAGAGTTTGAACACAGTCAGGTAAGTCACATGTGTGTAGGTACAGTGTGCTTAGTGTTGTGATGCTTTGCAAGAGGAAAAAGCTAACTTTCTGGAGGATATGAAGGAATCAGCTTACTCTGTTCTAACCGTACCTTTCTGTGAAGTTGTTGGATTCTGATAAAAGTTATATTAAGTCCTTAGAAAGCTTATGCTTCATTACTAGAGGGTTTTTCTTCTTTTTAATATTTTTCTCCTTTAGCTAATTGCTAATTTTTAATATAGTTCATTGAATACTAAATATTTTATTCAAATCTCTATGGAGAAGTTGGTTTTGTTTGACTGTAGTGTACTTTTTCTGGAATAAATTCTTTTGCTTTTGATATGACACTCCATTGTCAAAGGTTCCCTGAAAAGTGGAGCTGAAAGAACCTAAGAGGTCAACTGCTCTAAATTGCTCTTTTCACAGATAAGAAAACCAAGACTAACCTGCCAATATTGCTGGAGTATTTATAAATGAAAAGCATTTATTTTCATGGAGAATAATGGGAATAATCATTTTTTTCTTTTTGCTTCTCTGTTTATCCTTGTTTTAAGAGTCACAGTTGAATGCCATTGATGCTTTGATTGACTCCATGAGCTTGGTAAAGAAAGATGAGGAGGAAGATACCTTTGAAGACTTGTTTCCAACCACCAAAATCCCAAATCCTGAATTTCAGAGATTATTCCAGGTGAGAGAGGACATATGAGCCAGTGATACTTCTTTTAAATGAAAAAAAAAGCTAAGTGAAAAGCTATGATCATTGGCTAGTCCCAAATAAATAAATGTCTTTATTCTTTGAGGGTCGCTTTGCTCTATTTATTGAAAATGATATTTTCTTCTTTCTGCCTGAAAAGAGAAAAATAGAATGAAAAGTAAACTTAGAATCCTTTCTTTGCCCCCTGGAAGAAGGCTAATTAAAAAAAAACATAGGCTGGGTGCTGGTGGCTCACCCCTATAGTCCTAGTTACTCCGGAAGCAGAGATCAGGTGGATCGAGGTTTGAAGCCAGCCAGGGGAAATAGTTCAAGAGACCCTATCTTGGTAATACCAAGCACAAAACAGGGTTGGTGGAGTGACTCTAGTGGTAGAGTGCCTGCCTAGCAAACTTGAGGCCCTGAGTTCAAACCCTAGTTAATAAAAATCAGGTTCTCTTTTATGTTTTTTCAGGCTTTTCTTTTGTATATTATGTGAGTGAGACTATTTTTTATCAAAATAGCAGGAGAGCTTTCAAGACCTATATAATATAACCATTGTTGAGAAAAAACCTGTTACAGATTTCAAAATGTTACACATTTTCCAAAAATTTCATAATTAAAGATAGCATAGAAGTCACATAAAGAGGTTGTAATATATTTTGAAATGATTCAAAGTATAAAATATATGTTTCTGAATCTTAGGCCAGAGGAGCTGGAAGGTGGAAATTGGATTAAGAAAAGTTGAGGGAGTTAATAAGAAAGCTAATTTATGCTGTGGGAAGGTAAAGACAGACCAGGGTTGAAGAGGAAGTAATATTCCATTCCTGGATTAAGATGATGACAACAGGGCATAGACGTCTCTGACCCCCATAAAATGGAAGAACCACAAAGGCAGCTTTTTCAGGCTGGTGGGCAAGTGTGTGATGGTGTGTCCATGGATTGTCCCTTTTGACTCATTTCACAAAACATTCTTGACAGACCCAAGTCCATACTGGGACCTGTTGTAATTCAAGAGATCCTGTACTCAAAAGAAACTGACTGGTTTGAAAAACAAAAACAAAACCAAAACTTTAGTTCTGAAATTCACTAAGTTTAATATGTAAAGGCCTGCCTCAGTGAATGCTTCTGAGTGAATGAGTACTGTAAACATAATAAAGTATAAATGACTGATTAAGAAGAATCCTTTCTTGGACTCTAAGACCTGAAGGCTATATCACTTATGAGTGAGGGAGGAACAGAGCAATAGGAAAGCTTTCCAAAACAAGGAAAACTCTATACTTGACAAATTTATCTAGAGTACACTCTATTTATGTTCAATACATCTTTGTTGTGGTACTAAATGGAAGTAAGTCATAAACAGAGGCATTTTTATATTTCAAATCTGTGAGCACTAGAAGCTTTGACTTTACAGTGTAACCAACTTTGCTTTCTTTTGTGGGGGCAGTTTTTAATATGGCTTGTGTGTATAAAGAATACAGATTATTATCTTCACAAGGGCATGTGTAAATCGAATCCACTTTTTTTAAACAACAAATAAAGTGTGAGGCACTGAGTTCAATCCCTGTTCCACAAACAACAGGAACAAAAACAAATATTTACTGAATAATAACAATGCACTATGTGCTAAAGATACTATATGCTCACTCCCTTCAAAGACCCCTCTCGAGGAGAAAGTAGTAGACAAAAAGCCAATAGTTAAAACAGTGGCAGGAAAACACCAGGAGAATAGAAGGAAAGGAGATTCTTATAAGAAGGTAGCTTAAGGAAAGCTTCTTTGGAGAATTAACATTTGGACAGAGTTCTAAAATGGGGGATGTGTAATGGATGAGGGCAAAAGAAGTGATGTATGCAAGAGCATGACAATACGAAATCAGTTCATTTGGCTGAAGAATAGACTCTCTATGGGAAAATGATGGGGAAGATAAGTAACAAGTAGGTTGTGAAGAATGTTATTTACCTCACTCAATAGTTTGGATTTTGTGGCAGTGAGTAATCAAAGGATTTTGTCAGCAAGCGGGTAACATGGTTTATAAAAATAGCTTTCATGGTGGCATAGGAGATGGACTGGAGGCTGGCCTACTTAGGGCTTGAATTAAAACAGTGATTAAGAGTTTGGAGAAAGAAATAAACTTTGAAGGCATTTCAAAGGTATAGGAGATAGGATTTAAGAGATTAGGTGGTTAGTTGATGAGAAATCATGAGAAATTGAAGAAAACAAGACCCCAGCTAGGGTGATTGAAAGGATGTAAGGACATTAATTGTGATAAGAAATACAGAATCAACAGATGGAAAAGGTAATTCATTTACTTTTACAAATATTAAATTTGAGTTGTCTCTTGGGCTATTCCAGTATAGATAGTCAATGGAGAGTTGGAAATACAGATGCAGAGCTTAGAAGAGAAGTTGGTGTAAATACATACTTTTAAGAGTCTTCCTCATTTAAGTACAAAGAAAAGTGAATGAGATGGCCTGGGAGAGCATGTTGAATAAGAAGGAAAGAGAACAAAGTATTGAACCCCAGCATAGATATGAATGGTTAGGAATGGACATAAAAATAAGAACTGTATTGCAAAACAAAACTAAGTACTTCTACCTCCATCTCTCAACAAAGTTCAGAAAGTAGAAAGAACTAGCATCTTGGAGGGCTCAGGAAGGGAAGGGTGTGCAGGAGGAATGAATTGCAAGGCAAATACTACACAGTGGTGATCATTGGTGAGCGTGGTGGAAGGATTTAGGGATTGGTAGTTGTCTTAGTGACTTTGGGGCACAGTGTCAGTTGAGTAATGAGGTAGAAGCCAGGTCACAATGCCTGAAGGAGAATGCTTTCCTAACGAAGGCGAAGAGGGGGCATAGTAAGCTATTAGGAGGACATAGGACTCAGGAAACCTTTTTCCTTTTTAGATATTTATAGCTAAGGGAGAAGAGTGGAGAGATAATAATCTATTGACAAGAGGGTAATTCTAATTTTGGAACAAAATGCTGAAAACATGTACCTTGTAAGAGGATAGTTAAAACCACTGTTTAAACAAATTGATATAATGTCACTAAAATCACTATGTTAGTACCTCCTGAACTAGCCATGTGGCCCATATTTGTTTCCTAATCTTCCTCAAATTGTAAAAATCACATTGAAAAAAATAAATAGATCTCAGCTTCCCAGCCACTAAAAAATGTCACTTTCTCATAACCTAATTTTGTTCAATGAATTAGATTTTTTTTGCCTGAATGAATTTTATAAGTATTTCACTTAGCTTTATTTATTTAAAATGTGACCTTTAAGAAAATATAAGAGAGAGGTTGATGCTTCAAAACTCTCTTATAGACTTTTTGTTATATTGACTTATTGATCACAACACTGTTTGAAAGTAGTTCATGGAATTTATACTTCCAGTAGGAAGACTAGATAGAGTATTTTTCTACTGTTTGTTCTAGCTCTTTCTAAATCATGCTAATTGGGTCTTCAAGACTGTCTGGTAGGAAATCTCCCAGGTTGGGTGTTTGCTTAGAAAATCCTAAAGATGTAAGCAGTAATCAGAGAGATTTTAATGAACTGAGAGAGAATGCTGTGAGTTGAGGTTATGCATGAGAGTTACAGGTAGATTCAGAGGGTTTGGGGTCATTCTGATTTCTCCTTTTGCTTTACACTGAACAGGCCTAGTGATGCTCAAGGGAAAGCCAAGTAATTAGGAAAGAGGACAGCAGGAGTCAAATTCTGAAATGAAAGAGAGTGGTGGAGGAAGCAGCACATGGAATTTCTAGAGGAAATTGGTAATTAATTCCTACCTGAAGGTTTTCTGAATTTGTAGGTCATTGACTCTTAGATGATATTCACTATTAAACCCAAGTATCTTTTTTTTTTTTTTTTTTTTTAAGGACGGAGACTTCTAGCTTGCATTTTCTTCATTGTTGGAAAATGGCCCATGGCATAGTATAAATCAGACACTTGGTGATATAAATGGTAGTTTGAAATTGCAGGAGTTAATATATAAGTTTTTAAAAATTTGGAACAGGGCTGGGCGTGTAGCTCAGTAGTAGAGCACTTGTTTACTGTGTGTGAAGCCCTGGGCTCATTCTCTAGCATGGAAAAAACAAAACAAAACAGTGGAAATAATGGAAGCCCTTATACTCTGTCCTAATTTTGGAATTAATCTCCGTCACAGGAAGGAAACATTGATGAACTATTTTCATTTCTTTTTTTTTTTTTCCGTAATGGCATCTTGTTGCTTACCTTCCTGTACTCTTATTAGAATGTTTACTTTTCTGGAGTGCTGCCAAGGCCCAGTGTAGCAGACTGAAAGCAGTACAGGTGACTGAATAGAAGTGGTTTGCTGTCCAGTTCCACTCACGTGAGGAGTGGAGAACCTGCCTTGACCTTGATCCTGGCCCCATCCTTTGTGCTGCTTCCTGATAACCTCTGTTAACAAATGAGAGCCCTGGGAAAAAACATTTTATTCCTTGGTCAGTGTCATTAGGTGCTTATTATATGTCAGGCACATTTTCTATGCTTAGAATTCAGCAGTAAATAAGACAAGATCTTTACTTTCAAGGGAGAAGGCTAGATAATAAACAAGTAAACTAAAAAGTTAATAAGATAATTTTAGATAATAATAGGTGCTGTAAAAAATATAAGATAGGGGAATTGATAGAATGGGTGATAGGAGAAAGGGAGAGAGGCTACTTCATATACAGTATTAGTATCTCTGAGGAGATAATATTTGAGCAAAGATCAGAATGATTAAAAAAAAAAGGATCAATTCTTTTGAGGTATATGGGGAAGCAGAAGAGGCAGTTAAACCTGGCACTAAGGTCAGGACCTAGAGGTAGAAATGAGCTTAGCCTGGGTGGGTTGTGAATGCGGAGGAGAATGGCAGGTGCCTTAATCAGGGAGGCAGGCAGGAGCTGCTTCATGCAAGACTTCTAGGACATGATAAGAAGCTCATTTTCAGAAGACTTTAGTTTCAGGATAACAGTGAAAGCAGAAGCCAGAAGACCACTTAGAGGTGATTGGGGTAGGCCGGAGGAGGGCGAGAGTAGTGGCAGTGGGAATGGAGAGAGGTGGACAGACTAGTGGGACACGTTTATGATTCTTCCTTCTAGGAGGTTTGGGGCATCTCAGTATTCTCATGTCTTTCAGAGACTTCCTCCTGGGGTTCTCTGACATTGGGCAGCTCCTTTTTAGCCACCTGTTATATGTAGTACATGTTGACTTCTAAGATTAAGTGAAAGAGAAACCACAGATGATTAAGGGAGGTAAAGATTTATAATCCCAGATTGTCAGATATTCTTATGTTTCTTAGGTAGCCTTCTATAATCCCCAAGTAGTTATAGTCACAGCTTTTTATAAGGTGAGGTTCTTTTCTAGGCGGTCTAAAGAAGGTATTGCTGCTGGGCTTGAGTCTGTTTTTACAATTTTAAATGTGATCAGGGTCTTCCTAATAAAGGTGGTTCTAGGCCAGCCTGCTTTGTTGTCTCCTTACTTAGGGTATGAGTCACATAGTCCTTCCAAACTAAAGATGGAGAATCCCTGACCAGAGAATATAAAGAATCCATATGTAATGTCTCCGTGTGTGTTTTAAAGTTACTATGCCTTTCCCAACAGTGTCTGCTGCATAGAGCTTTACATCCCCAGGAGCCTCTGCCCCAAATTCAGCAGCATATTTTGAATATGCTGGCCCCCCCTGCTGAAGTGACAGCAAAATGTCAGAGTTCACTTTCTAAAATAAAGATGCTATTCCCTCTGACTGAAGCCATCAAGAAAAAAGACCAAGTAACTGCTCAGGACATTTTCCAAGATAAGTAAGTACTTGATATGGTTGCATTTAAAATTTGTGACAGTCTTGAAGGGAATCTGAAATTAAGGTGTTCCTTAGGGGTTTGTGCCATTCCAAAGGTGAAAGGAAGAAGCCTTTTGGATTTGTCTCTTATGTTGAAAAACTGGCTTTTCATATCTGTCCTTTATAGTCATACTTTTTAATTTTTTTGGCAGGGACTGGGCTTGAACTCAGGGCTTTATACTTGCAAGGCAGGCACTCTACTGCTTAAGCCACACATACAGTCCATTTTGTTCTAGTTGTTTTGAAGATTGGGTCTTGTGAAATATTAGCCCAGGCTGGCCTCAAACCAAGATCCTACTATCTCAGCCGCCCAAATAGCTAGGATTACAGGGGTGAGCCACCATACCCGGCCATTGTAGTCATACTTTACCCTTGCTCTTCACTTGGGATTTAGAACTATCTTCTGGGTTGTTGACTTTTGGATTGCAGTGAAATTCTTAGTCAATTATACACAGGGAAGCTAAGCACAGTTTTTTTTTTTTTGTTGTACTGGCTTGAATTCAGGGCCTTCATCTTAAGCCACTCTACCAGACCTTTTTCATGATGGTTTTTTTGAGATAGGGTCTCACACACTATTTGCCGGGGCTGGCTTTGAATTGCGATTCTCCTGATCTCTGCCTCCTGAGTAGCTAGGATTATAGGCATGAGCCACTGGTGCCCAGCTAAGCAAAGTTTTTTAATCTGGGATGGGGGACTTTTACCCTTTTTAAAGTAAGGAGCTGAGAATAAGAGGAGGAGGGTGAAGGTCATGAAGTTCTTTGGTGGGAAGGTTATATATTAATGAGATTTTCTGGAGGAAAACTAGGGAGAATGAAAAATCTAGCCCTTTAGCTCTTCTTAGTGATGCACTTGGTTATGCTGTTAGGGAGGCATTTGTAGGTTAAGGATTGCAAAATGCTTTTCATATGATCCTTCAATCAAGCTTGCAAGTAGTTATTAAGCTTTTTTTCTCATCACATTCTGTTCAGAATCTGTGTTTCCATTCAAACAAAACAAGAAAACTAGAAGAAATTGTTCTTGATTATATAGTCATTTGGGTATATAACATTGATTTTACTAGGCTTAGGTCAACTGGTTATTAGTGATTTTTTTTTTTTTCTGAAACCAGAATAATCTATTCATTTCTTTACGATACATTTTGGGATCTGACTTTAGACAATGATGTGTTTGTTTTTCTTTTTTTCTTTGATTCACTTCCCACAGCTGTATCTTTATTGACAAAGTAAGGCTTATTATTTATTGTTTATAAATACTCCGGTAGAGAAACATTGAGAAATCTTCACTGTTTAAGTTAAATAGAAAGCTTTGCTTTTTTTTTCCCCCCACCAAGTTTTGGAAAAAATAAAAAAATCATGCATGTAATGGATTCTGTCATGTGCCTTCCTAACACATCCTGGAGAGACTTATAGTTCTTTTTAGTCTATCCTGCCTTCTTCTACACAGGAAGCCTGTCCCTAAAAATGCACTTTCCCTCTGCATCCTTATCTACTTGTATGCCTCCGAATTCATAGTTTAGAACAGTTCAATAAAAGCCTGCGGCCTTTTCTTCTTGTGACACCTTGCTAGTCTCACTGCAATCACAGGTCTATTCTTTCTCAGTATTAAAGCTCCAGTTCATGAACTTAATTACCTTCTGGTGTAGTGGGAAAGAAATGGGCCATTTTCTCCTCCTCCTTTGATTAAAATGTAAATTAGCTTGTTAAAAAAACACACCCACAAAAAGACCCTAAAAGGCTGTTGTGCTGTGATTTAGATCCTCTGTGATGGCACCTTCAGCTGTAGTTTGTGTCACTCCCTGCTGCTGTAAGCATGGAGTTGTGCCTGAGGCTTCTTGTGCTTTGCTCCTGTTTAAATGGTTTGTTGACACACCAGCTACCTGCCTTGGGGCCTGGGGGGAAAATTATCTCACTCATACATACCTTAACTTTGCACTCTTCTCTCCCTCGTTCCTTCTCAGAAGTTTTAGTTTTTTAAAACTAAAGAAATGATGCATTTAGCAAAATATTTACTGAGCACTTCCTGCAATTCAAAAAGAATGACTCAGTCCCCTTCTGGCAAAGTTCTTAGAACCCTCTTTTAATGAAAAAGCTTCCAATCAACTGTAGAGGTAGTTTCACTAAGAGAAAAAAGGATTGCTGACACTGAGCTGTGTTTTTTGCACATATTCAATGTCATCCTGTATTTCAGGGCACCGTTATTTCCATTGAAAGCGATGAGGCGGCTTAAGATTGGCAAGTGGCACATATCAGATCAGGAAGTTTTCGTAGTCAGAGAAGCCTGAAACTGAACTTTTGTTTTTTTTAAATTTTACAATTATATGTTATTTGGATTTTTAATATAAGAACTAATATTTCACATTTGTTACATATTATACAGTAAAATACCTTTTTGTTCAATTGTTAGGTGAAAAAAAAAAAGTTCAGCAATCAAACAAACTTTATAAATATCAAAACATTTAGCCTATTTTCACATACACATACAGGGTTTTCATCATTTGTGAGGAAGTACTACTTTTCTTTCCAGCTCGTCACTTTGTGATCTTAATTTTGAGTTAAAATAAATTTTGACCGTTATAGATTTTTTTTCCAGGCAAAAAAATAGCCTCAATGAAATTACAGAAATTAAAGTACTCTGAGCTATTTGAGGGAAGGCAGTAGTTTAAGAAACTCAGGCAATAATAGTAGTTATCCATGGAAAATATTGCTTTCTGAAGGCCTGCTATTCATCTTAGGTAGTGCTGAATATCCCTATTAGATATGTGATTTCTTCAGAAGGGAAAGAGCACCATTTGGACACTGTAGCCTTACCAAGACGAAATATCACCTTTATCATATAAAAAGGATTGCTTCCTTATTGTTTGTGGGCACCTTTGGAAATGGAAAAATGTCTCCTTGGACAGGGAATTGCAGGAGAATTTATGACATTTGAGTTTAATCCCTACTCGCTGCAACTGCATGTGTATATTAATTTTGATTTCTGTTTGTCTCTTGTGCAGGTAGTGTATGGTTTTCTGCTCTTTCAAGTCCTGTAAGACTCCTCCCCCACCTTCTCCCAACAGATGGCCTTGCCTGGGTAATGGTTAGGGGATTTTAGGAACTTGGCAGAGTGAAGCCATTTGGGATTCCTTGCTCAGGAGTGTGACCTTAGGCACAGGTTCCTTATCTCTTCAAGCCCTCGTTGCATAAAGTTGTCATTGAGGGTTAAGGTAAATAAATGTAAAGGTGTTCCTTTAGAACGAACATATGGCCTAGCCTCATAATAAGAACACAGTGTTTGTTGGTAAATGATTTAAAATACCCTTGGTCAATGTCCCTAGCATATTAGTACAGGACAACTATGATGATTATATAGCAATGGGTATCATAGAGAAAATACAGAGTCTTTAGATGGGGAATTACCTCAGGTTTTCTGCCATCTTATAAAAAAAATGTCTGTCTCGTATCTACTTCTTCTCTCCTGTCTCAGTGGACAAGGACAAACTCATCCTGTCTACGTCATCCTTTGAACTGTGCCTGAGCACCCATCTTTGTCTTTTCTGGGTTTAGGTACCACTAATAATGACTTGCTCTCTTTCTGTATTTTCAAGCTTTTCCCACTTCTTACCAGTGCCTTTCTTCCTCATGTAATATTTTTCTTCAATCTAAAAACAACTAAAAATTAATCCCTGCCAGATTCCCTCCCTCTAATCACTACCTGTTACTAGTTATCAATCTAATTATTAATTTTTTCCTTCTACAAACAAAGGCTTACTGGAAGAATAGTCTTACACTGCTGCTTTTCTTAGCTCTAATTCTCTTTTGCCCCCACTGCCTCTCTGCAAAAATGATCTTCAAGACCAACTGTTAAAATTGCCTTCAGCTTTGGCAGTTTTCTTTAAGACCTTTTTCTTTGTAGCATTTGACATTGTCAGTTGTTCTTTCCCTTTCTTGAAACTCAGTGTATCTCCCTGTTAACTTTTGGTTGCTTCAGATTTTTCTTCCTTTCTTTGACAACTGTCAGAAATCTTCTGGAGCTGCTTTTCTCTTTCCCCTCCAGTCTTAAAACATTGATGTTTCTATTAGGATTTATCCTCTCAGAAATAGCAGACATTTATTAAAACACAAAGTATTGATATTGAGTGCTTTACTTGCAATGATCTGGTTGAATCCATTTGGCCAACAAGGTTGTTTTACTTGATGCTATCTTAAAGCTGAGGGAAGGCTAAAAGATTAGAGAAAAAGAAGAAACATGCCCCAATATCCCAGTTGGTAAATATGGAGTTTAAGTTGTTAAATGTAGGCAATCTGACTTCAAGAGCTTACTTATATCTTAGCCATAATGCCATTTTTGCATTTAGCAATGCATGTCCCCAAGACTTTTATTGCTTCATGTACAGGGGATTCAGAAACCACTAAATATCTGTCTGTAACTAATTTTCATCTTTCAGAGAATAGCTCAGAGTTCTATATTACCTCACATTTAATAAATCTGGAATGACTTCATCGTCTCCTATTTTCCTTTCAAACCTTCTTCATCCTGTTATCTATATGTCACTGAATGGATACCTATTTTTCTGGGAGGCATCCTTTCATTTTAACTTTTCATTTCTACTTGGTTTACCAAATTAACTCACATCTACCCTTTCCACATTCAGGTATAGTATAGTGGCTAATGGCAGTGATTTTTGGAGTCAGTAGATTTGGATCTAATCCCAGGTATTTTCCCCTTAATAGGCAGTTTGAAATTGGCCAAGTTGCTGAGTCAAGTGTAGTAAACAAATAACTGACTTTGATGAGCCTTCATTTGCTCATGTATTTGTATAAAAGAGAAATGGCCAAAGTTAACTCAGAGCTTTGTTGGTATGAAGGTTAACCGACATAATTTAAACATGCTTAGTGTAGTGAACTAGCAAATGATAGCTTTTAAATATAGCATTGCACACTGGCATTACGTTATGTGTGACTGCTCATTATCTAGCCTTGCTTTACTGAAGCACCTCACAACTGATTTTCCATTTTCAGTGTTTACCCTTTCCAATCCATCTGCTACGTGAGTGGCTTATTTTTACATTTATTGGTTTATTGTAAGGCGATTACAAAGAGATACAACATGTGTAGAGGTAAGCATGTGGAAGTTGTGGCACAGCGCTTCCATGCCCTTTCTTGTTTTGTTTTTGTCTTTTCTGTTTTTGGTGGCTGGGGATCGAACCCAGGCCTCACGCATTGTCTAGGCAAGC